CTCCGTATACATACCCTTCCCCCCACTTCTCACAAAGTTCAAAATTTTTAGATTCCATTATTTTATTTATCTAATTATTTGATGCCCCTCTTCGCCCCTATTTGACCCGCAGCATTCTCCTCCTACATATCTATTTGCGATAACATTGTTCACGTAGGGCAATTGTGTCAGTACAGAATTAAACTAATTTAGAAAAATGCCAATATGAACCTATTGGATAATCAATTTTCTCCCGCCACTGCTGCCGACATTATCGGCCTGGGCGAGAAGTCGACACTGCCGCCATCCGGCGGCGTTCCCCCTACTGATTTATTTTCCCTTTCAATATGCAAATTATTATTTTCCTTAATTATTGGAAATTAATGTCATTAAAGCTACTAAAATTCATTTATAATTCATAGATTTACATCCATAATCGTTCCAGGTATCATTTACCCTTTTTTACACCAAAACAAGTAGCCACCTAACAGCCACCTAATTAGGTGCGTCAGTTGCGGATGTGTTCAATTGACTGTGTCCAGTTGCACCCATCCCTCGTGGGGGTCACCCATACGGGCCAGTTTCTAGGTTGCTGCGACGGGCTCAACGCGCGCCTAAATTCACATTGCTAAAGAGACTTCTTATAATGCGTTCAGTGGGGATGAAAAAACACAGCTGAAGACAAGTTTTTTCACTTTTCCAAGAGGGTAAAAATACCAAAGTGGAGGCCGGCGAAATGCCAAAACTACGTAAATCATTGTTAATGGAAAAATGTCGAATTTGTTTGTGTGATAATGGCGTTATGACAGATATATTCACGGATGAGTTACGTGGAATGATCAAGGAACTCATCCTAAGTACCAGGATTAATGTAGTGTTTATTTTCAACAGTTCATAAAATTTGGTTATGTTGGACTCCAAGTTCTTATTGAATAATTCACATGATAATTTTGAATTTCAGATTGATGAAAATGAGAAATATCCAAGGAATATTTGTCATGTTTGCCTTTATAAACTTGACATGTGGTGTCATTTCAAAGCGCAATTTGTTCAAAGTAATAAAGTACTTTTGCAACAGTTGAAGATGGAATTATTAAATCGTGCTGTGAGTATGATAAATTCATCATTTTTATCCTACAAACATTACTAATGGAGAAATAACTTTCAATACTTGTCTTTTTTTAATTCAACTGTTTTTTTAACCTCAATTTTTTTTGACTGTAGTTCGTAACAATGAGTTTTTTCATTATTACCACTTAAAATGTCATGCAACTAGTGTTAAACAGTAATGAAGTAATGAAACGAGATGAGTCAATGTCACTTCGAGATTAGTTTATGAAAAACTATATCCCGAATTACAGATATGTATTCTATACTTTTCATATTAAAAAAAAAAGACATTCATGAAAAGTGAATTGTTGATTGGTAATCAACTACCTAAATATACAGCAACTCATGAAAAAACTGGAAATAATCCAGCGAATTTGTCAAAACTATTGTTAAAGCAACATGACAAACCGATTGCTCATATGAAATTGGATTCAATTTTCTCAATTTTCTTATCATATTCAAGGAATAATAATTTCAGGTATCTACAACCAAGAGGAAACTCAGTGAATCTCCTTTAACCCCAGAACTCAACAACGATGATCTGGTTGATTCCGTAAGTGTAAAAAAGTCTAAAAAGCCTCACATTATTTTGGCAGGGAAATGATGGACCATTACTTGCATGTGATATTTTCATTAGTTATACGATTATTACGATAATAAATTATTTTATTGCAAAGTTCGACAATTGTCTACAGGGCTTTCAATATTTCGTTTCATGAATCATCACTTTTTTTTACAAATTCTTAATTATCAAACAATTAGTGATTTATTTTTATCCGTTCCAGAAAAAAATAAAGCAAGAGCGACCCTCAACACCCCCTAATTTGGAGAGAAATGCAATGCAATTCGCAATCTCACTAGAGCCCTCGGGGAATCTGATCGAACCTTTACTAACTCCTCCAGGAATGCTAGATAGTGCATCGGAGAGTCACTCTCAGCAACTCCCAACCCCAGCACTGAAAGCTCGTATCTCAATTGGCAGACGAACTTCTGAGCAACGTTTAGCCTCCACCCAACGTTGGGAAGCTCGTAAAAAGGCTCTCTTAGCTGCCACCGGTGAGAACGACTCTGACACTGACTCAATGGCATCAGACGAAAATCAGCTTTCCCCAATTCAGAAAGCAAGGGCTAAGAACAATGCAGAGAAGGAAGCAGAGAGGCAGCGACGCTTGGTTAAAGCATGCAACAACCTTAGCCAGGGAGGAGCCCTGGAGAGCAGTGCAACAGATTCTTATCTCCAAAAATCGCCGGAAAATAACATCCAGATGAATCTCGTCGACAAAACTGACGACTTCGTACCGAAATCCGTCCAATCTGAGATCGCCATAGGAGATGCAACTTACATTGTCACATCTACACTTCTTTTGACGGAGCCCTTCATCAATAAGGACCATCAGACGAGGGAAAAAATCTCAGAAGAGCTTCCAAACTATCAAAACACTGATATTATGGATGCCGTGAAATTAAAACGTGTTAATCCACAGTCGAAGGCCTTTCAAAATGATAAGAAATTAATTGAGAGATGTTTGAACATTGAAGTTGAGGGAACAGAACTGCCAGCACTTCAAAAAGTCCAGGCAGAGTTGGCCAAGTTCATTGAAATCGAGGTGAAACAAAAATTGATGAATAATGCTGCAGTAGAGGAGAAGATTGAGCCAAAGCCCCAAGATAGTACTCACACTTTGGAGCAGAAGTTAAAAAGCATTATTGAGAAAAGCCTGAAAAATAACATTGACAATTCGAGAATGAAACGAGTTCCAATAAGCAAAATAACGATGGGTGACAGAATGAATAAGACTTTTTCCCCGTCTTTCATCAAAGCTGCCATGAAATCTCCACACTTTCAACCAAAAGTTTTATTGAGTCGAGTTAAATTACCTAAGGTAGAAAAACATACAGAAGTCACGAAAGGAGGAGGGGGTGGGAACCATCGCAACAACACTGAATTTTCCATTGATAACACTCAGCTTTTGGTGACTCCATCACGAAAAACTTACGCCGTTAAAGGTTCTCGCACCCCGAACATCTTGAAATCCTCTCGAATTGACAATACACCAAGTAAAAAGCCCGACAATTTACCCAGAGAACCCGGAGATTTCATTTCAAATGTCGATAAACACATATGTGGATTATGTGGTGCTACTTTCCCATCACAATCACAAGTGGAGGCTCACTACGAGTATCATAAATCCCCTAACACGGTTGAGATTAAGCACAAGATGATGAGATGTAAGAGATGTCAAGAAATCGTCGAAGCGAAATTTGTCAAATCTCACGTGTGTAAAACAAATAAATATAAGTGTGAAATTTGTAATAAAGTTTTCAATATTCAAAAAGGTTTGGAGGTACATTTGAAGGAGCATAAGAATCAGGAGGAGCAGGTGAAGATCGAAAGGCGAAGTGTTGAGCATACAGAAGTGGAACCCTCCGGTTTTGTGCCTCCTGTTTTTTCCATACCTGCATCTGAATCTATTGCAAGTGTTCTGACCCTCGATGAGGAGAACAAGGGAGTTTCTTCTTGCTTTATCTGTGACAAGAATTTTATGAATGAAGAACTATTGAGGAATCATTTTCAAACACATTGTGACAATACGAGTGAGGGGGACCAAGTGCTGGAGGATAAGGTGTATCAGTGTGCAATATGTGGTGAGACACTCGAATCTGAGTCTGGTTTGGAGGATCACGTGGAGAAACATCTGTGCGACGATGAGGATGATAATCCCAATTTGATTAACATCGAGGGCATTCTTCAGGTGCAAATTAACAAGCAGATGCACACTTGTGTCCAGTGTGCCCAGCAGTTTGACACTGAACTCAATCTTGTAATGCACATGCAGCAGCACGAGGAAGAGGCCGCTTTCGCTGAGTGGGGGAAGGAGGGCCTAAAGGCCCAGGATGATCATGCTTGTACTATCTGTGAGGAGACTTTCACTTCTGAGGAAACACTCGCTAATCATTTAGACCTTCACAATGGGAGTTGTCATATTTGTGAGTTGTGCGACAGACCCTTTTGGACGATTGATGAACTCCAACGACATGTTATCAGCCATTGTACGTGAAACATTACATTGCTTTTTTTTCACGCAACGAGGAGTTGTGGATTTTATTTTCATTCAGAATGTTTTTTTCCTGTTAAGGTAAAATGTATTGTGCCGCATAAATTCAGTGAACAAGTGGTGAGTTAGGAACACTTGTGCCGATTGCTTTTGAATCTCTCCGGATGTAAGAGGTTTAATATTGAAGAAAAAATTCGTCCCTTGATATTTGTCACAAAATACTACAAAAAACTTGTACAAGACAGCTCATTCTCCATTTTTTTTATTATCAGTTTTATCGATAATCACACGATTTGTAAAAAATTTATACGGAACGAAGCCGGTTTCACCGCTTTGTTATTGAATTTATCCCTCTTGAAGAGCTGAAGAGGCAGAACATTCAATTTTTTCTTATCACTTTGTTCGGGGAATTTCCTTTAGCACATGTAGATAAAAAACATCTTCATTTTATAAAATTAAACGTTCAATATGCGGCATTATCACAAGATGAATTATTTCTCATTTTTTTCCCAGTGGTCGAATTTGATTGATGATTCTCCTCTCGTCTTCTCGTTCGATTGTTTTTTCTCCTTTTTCATTTTACGTGATTCCGAGATTACAGTGGTGTCTTGCAGAGTGCAACTGTCCTATAGTATAAGGTAATCGTACTACATTGTACACGTCACAGATGTCTTTATGCAAGAAAGTAGTTGGAGATTGTAAATAACAGGTACTCCATTCATATGTTAAACCTGATTTAATTCTTTGGATTTTTAATAATAAAATAAAATAATCGAAGAAGAAAAATAAAAATTGGTTTACATCAAAAGTGTTATTCAACAGTTATTTGAAATTATTGAAATTAAAATGTATATGACTCGTTGTATTCTACTACAGGATAAATGAAGTTTTCACATCCGATTTGAATCATTACACTACTCCACTACTAGTTTATATCAATGAACAGCAGAATTTTCTAAGTACATTATGAGGAAAATTTAAAAAGATGGATTGAGGGGTTTTACCATCGTCACAAGTTATTTTTTATTATTTGGATACTTGAATACTGGAATATACAATACATGACATTCTAGCATTTCACTTAAATTCCTCAGAGTCAGGCCTTATGTCAATAATGTCAACCAATTAATTTAACAAATTGAAATGACGATATATTCGCCATAGCACCAAATATCAATTAATTTCATAAAATTTTATCTCCCAAAACTTGACCCGTCCACCACAAAATACAACGGAGGTTCTTCAATTATCTTAATTTTTTTTTTCATTTTTTATTTTATCCGAATAGAGTGAAAATATACTCGGATAAATGGATAAAAAATAATGTCTCGACTCTTCTCATTCATTTATTCATTCAGCATAACTTTGGCAGCACGATTTAAACCATTAGTGCCCCGATAGAACGTGAAGACTATATACATCATCAAAGGGAGAGGTCTGTATACTTTGTCATAATTTTGTATTGAAATGATAAAATGTAATTTGAAATGATATCAATAATGAATGATTTTACGAAGAAATGGAAGGTTCCGTCAGAGGTAACTTAGAGCTCCCCAATTCCAACAGAATTGCATCAGTAAAAGCAAGGCCTTCATAATATAGAATTATATTTTACCATCCCAGCACAAAATTGTCTTTTTCTTCTTTAAATTCCAGCAATACAAATTAGATTGTTATTGGGACATTTGATTTCAAATAATTGGAGGAAAAAATTTCCTCAATAATTAGTCTGAATTTATCTTCATCGAACTTGGCATTCGTTTATTCTGTTTTATTTGTTTTTTGTTTTAAAAAACAGACTATAATTTGGGTCCCGTGATTTTCTTACATGTAATATAATTATCTGGGGAAGGAAGGGGGGTATAACTTGTGTATATATAACGTATCAATATCATCAATTACTTATATAGTAATTAATCATCTAAAACGATACAATAATAACTTCAATGTCCTTTTCTATTATATAAATAACTATTATTTACAATGACACCATTCATAAAGATTGAATTTTTCATGAATATTATATTAATTTAGCAATTTAATTTTAATAATAATAATAATAATAACAATAAATTAAAAAGAATTTTTAATATATTCGTTTTGTTTCCGAAACAAGAAGAGAAAATGCAGAACATAAGACTTAGTTTCAGTGATATTTCTGAAGAAACAGGAAAAGCGCAGAACTGTACACATCTTTTCTTTTATTCCAAAAATTCTATTAATTGGCATTCGCATTTTTCCATCGCACTCTGTAATACTTGCGATGATTTTACTTTTCATATATATCGTTTTCTTCGTATCTTATACTTGTATTATATGCATACACTACGCTAGCATTCTAAACAGACGATCCAAACTCATTCAATCATACACGGAAGTTTTCTCACAACTTATGCCTCTCAGATTTATTTGAAAAAAAGGAGGTTTTTAAACATCGACCAGCATGTCCTTTAGATGCATCAAACTGATCTCTATATTTTTCATCTATTGTCCGCCCAATCTTCGTGTTATTTCCTCGAGTGACAAATTAAGAAGAAATTTGAACCTCCAGAAGCTTCCAATCGTAGGTAGGGTCCCTAGTCACTAGTGAAATTGTTTGCTCATTGGATTAGATATAAACCAAGGTCTCTTTTCTCGTACATCCTTGTGAGGATTAATTAAGCATCTCGACATTGATTCATGCACTTGGTGTGATGGATTAAATTAATCACTTGGAATTTGGCGTTTTTTGCAAGGAGTTTTTGAAACATATATTTATTACTGAGATACGACATCAACGTAGTTTGCTGGGTAAAGACCTACTCTTCCGTCCTTCCTCCCTTTGCACCAGCCTTGCTCGTCTTCATCCTCTAATTTTTCAAAGACTTCACCTGAAAAATATATTTTTTTAAGTTAATCAAGTATACTGTGAGTAAGCACGAAGAAATAATTCAATAAATGACACTCGAGCATCACCGCCAGTTGGGACTTCCCTCATGATCTACAGAATGGCTAATTCATTCGCCAAGTTTGGCAGAAAAACTATCGAAAAGAACCAACACACTGATCCTTCTCAAATATTAATAAGCTCTCCCCTCAAATTTGATTACCGTATTAGTTCCATAACTCGATAAAAACTTCTTACCTTGTTTGAAAGTTAATTCATCTGCTTCCGCACCTTCATAATCGTATAAAGCTCTAACAGGCACCCCAGGTTCGCCTGTGTCTACCAAGGGCTCACCCCCGTCCTCGTCCCACTCTTCCTCGTCAAAGGGATTCGATTCTTGCTTCGCATTCGTTCCATTTCTATTGAAGAAAACAGGAAGCAATGGCATTTATTCTTATAGGAATGTAAAATTCAATTCCTCAATTCCTCATGTTGAATAGGAATATGGCTCCATTATCTGCTGAACGTTATAAACATTGATTTTTTTGTTCGATTTTTATCTGGAAATTTCAACTCGATGCCCTACCACTCAGGGACACCTAAAAATTCGGAATTTAGATTGACAAAATTTTTTTTTCAATTCTGACAAATTCAAAGAACGTTTTTAATCAATACTGTCAGTCGCCACCATGGGGGAGGAAAGACGAAATACTAAATGTTCTGGCGCACCGCAACATGATTGTACAAAGAAAGGCTCTTTGAAAAAATTTGTAATATTTTTAAGAATTTTGTGACGACACTTTTCCGATGAAGTACTAATCACGCCAGTCTCCCCCATTGATAATTGGACGGGCGATTAGCTGTCCCTTTTGTCCGGAATTGAACACAGGAAAATCTTCTTTCTTCCGTTTTTTACGCCCCCGACAAAGTGACAGTTGATGGACAGTACAATTTTCAATTGAGGTGATTGGTGTAAGTGGTTGGTAGTTCATCGTAAAAGTGTGATTAAAAAATTCTTTAAAATATTACAAAATTTTTCAAAGAGCTTTCTTTTTCACAATCGTCTGGTGGCCCTGTCCCAAAGGATTCATTATTTCTTTCATCTGTCCACCCCCATGGTGGCGACTGACAGGCTGCCATTTGCCATGGTAAGTATTCATTATTCTCCTCTATGTAAATCATTCTTCAATATTAATTAACAACGCTCTTTCAAAATGTTCAGAATTTGTTTTACTTTTTTTTAAATCCAAATTCATAATTTTCGGGAGTCTGAGTGACGGGGTATCGAATTGAAATTTCGAGATAAAAATCGAACAAAAAAAGCAATCTAGATGACGTTTGGCAGACAATGACGCCGGGCCGTAATTCAAGGAATGTAGTACAAAGTGAAAACAACATTTATCTAATTGTCATTTGGTGACGTTTTGCAAACCGTTGTTACATGATAATCTCTGAGAGGAAATTGTCCGACTTTTCACATTGACGTCTTATTTCTGTTGTTTGCACTTGTCTGTACGCTACTAGCTGTGCTTTCAAATAATAACTGGTTCAGGGTCATTAACAAGGCTAAATATTGCTCGACTCATGAGCTTGATGAAGATAAAAGAAAACGACGAAACGTTGCAAAATAACAACTAGATGAATTCTATTTTCAGTTGTACGAGTCGTAAAGTAGAACTTTCTCTGAATTAACCTCTATACGATGTCCCAAAATAGGTGATCGAAATCTTAACGGATGAAGAGGGTGAAATTCTGAGCCGAAAGTTCCTTTTTAATTTTTGGCTCTGGATAATAGTTAATGAATTATTAATTAATAAAGTTGACCAATGACACCGTTACTGGACTGGAATTACTATGGCATAGGAACTGATAGATTACTATTTCCAGAACTTCCGGAACATCTCGGTTAATTTCATCGTTACAATAAAAATTAAGTCGAGTCTAAATTTTCAAAACTCGGCTTCTGCAGAGAGTGGTATAATAGTGGCTTTCGTCCTTATAAGGCCGAAAACAAATTTTCTGGTGAATATGAGTTTGCAGCCTGAGCCGAAGGTGAGGATTGCAATCATATGAACTAGAATTTTTTTTTACACTGCTGCTACGTTTACCTCGTGTCGAAAAGCGCTTTTGCGTTTACTTGTAAACGAAAAAAGCACAGTTCGACCTCTCGCTGAACGTAACATCACTGTCAAAATAGTATATTTTGATACAAGTAAGCTCTTGTGATTCACACTCGTGAAAATTACTTCACACTCGTGAAAATTTCCGTTTTACATGCGTCGAACTAGTATATTAGGTGTATAAGTTAATTCTCGGTCCCTAGATTAAATTGATCAGAACACCTATTTCAATTAAAAGAATTCCCCGCAATAAACGGCGTTTTGAAGCGCTATCTGTGACCTATCAAACCACTCAAGTCCGATTGTGGTGGTGTGGTGTGATTAAAGGCCTCCGCGCAATCAAAAAGCACACGCGATAAGCAACAAATATAGGTTATAGGCTATAAGAAATAAGTTTCTAACGTTCCGTAGTCAATGCCAGAGATTATTCAATGCGTGAACGCACAACAGAGCAATAAGGAATAGAACCGTGCAACAACTGTAGAAATAAAGTTATAAGCTACAAGAACCTTGTTTATCATGGCGTCAGCTGATCATACATACACGAGGGAAACAGGAAAAATACAGGATACGATGTGCATTGAAGGAGAAAATACTGTACAAAAGGATAGAATTAATCTAAACTATAAAGAGGGGGATGAATTATTGATTGAGCTCGTTCGATCTTATCGTCATATGTGGGATAAGAAACATCGTGACCACAAACGGGCACAAAGACAGACATCATAGAAAATTCGTTGTTCCGGCGACAGCGATCTTCTGCGACTAGTTTTCTTTGAAAGTGGTGAAACTTTCATTAGCAATTGGTCAAATATGGTTACTGACATCCTCGTCGATCGAAAAAATAACTCCTCATCACTTCGCAATTTGAAAATAAACGATTCAATGTCTCCAATTGTATCACCATATCATAAGGAATAATTGATAGGTCGCGTCCACCAACGTCGATACCTCCATCGTTTGTGCTTCTTCATTTTTTTAATGAACATAAATAGTCCCATTATTTGTAAACTCACAGTTGCCAAGAATAACGCATCGGTACCAATCATGATTACAAAATAATTATTACTACATAGGTAATTAAACGACTTTGACGTCTCTCAAATATTTCGTTGTGACACAGGTTATGCAGCTATTGCTTGTGCCTCTGTATTGTGCGTTGAATTGTTGCTTATAGCCTGTAACCTATATTTGTTGCTTATCGCTCGTGCTTTTTGATTGTGCGGAGGCCTTAGCACAACCTCAAAAAACAGTGAATAAAAATGTCATTCGACAAGCAGCACTTCCGTAGTAAAACAGTCCGATTATTTCCGACTGGGGGAGACAAAATGAATCGGCGTTGATGATGTTTCTGTCTTTGCCCGTTAAATGCTGATTGGCTGGTAGGTAGAGTTTGGAGTTTGGAGTTTTTGGAGAGTTTTGGAGTTGTTTGGAGAAAATTATGAGAATTAACAGGATCAAGGGTATGTGGCCGTTATCGTCCGATTACTTTCCAAAAAAGTGGTTGATAGATCTCATATTGCTCATATAAATCTTTAATATTTATAGCTCATTTAAATATTTATATGCGTAATATGAGATCTATCCACCACTTTTTTGGAAAGTAATCGGACAATGAGGGCCACATACCCTTGTTCCCATTAATTCTCATAATTTTCTCAAACTCCAAACTACTCCAAGCTACCTACCAGCCAATCGGAATTTAACGGGCAAAGACAGAAACATCATTAACACCGGTTCATTTTTTATCACCCAGTTGGAAATAATCGGACTGTTTTACCAGGGTTGAGGCACTGCCTTCTTTTCACCTTCCAACTTGGAAAAACTGCCGCAGAAGCACAAGAAATGATTTGTACGGCCTTGGGAGGGAGTGCTGTATCTTATAGCACATGTAAAACAAGAACTGATTGGAGAATGTTCTAAGGTACTTTCTCAACCCCCTGAAAAATTACAAACCCAATCGGGTTTGTACTTGGGAGGTATTTAGGGGGAAAATGTCATTTTTCGCGTTTTCTTTTTGAAAAAAAAAAAATATATATATATATATCCATCCAAAATATTCAGAAAACACTAAATAATTTACATTGCGGAATATTTAAGAGAGCTTCCCCGACCCCCGAAAAAATCACCAACCCCCGCGGGTCCGTACGTGGGGGTATTAAAGGGGTGAATGTTCATTCTTCGCATTTTTTGTTGAAAAAAAATATATTTTCAACCAAAATAGTCAAAAACACTAAATGATTTTCATTGGGGAATGTTTAAAGGGACTTTCCCAACTCCCAGGAAAATCACCAACTCCCTCGGGTTCGTACGTGGAGGGTATTAAGGGGGTGAATTTTCTTTTTTCGTTTTTTTGTTGAAAAAAAAATATATTTCCACCCAAAATAGTCAAAAACACGAATTTATTTTCATTGGGGAATGTTTAAAGGAACTTTCACAACCCCCAGGAAAATCACCAACCCCCTCGGGTCCGTACATGGGGGGTATCGAGGTGGGGAATGTTCATTTTTTGCGATTTCTAATGAGAAAAAAAATATTTCCACCAAAAATAGTCAAAAGAACTAAATGATGTTTATTGGGGAATGTTTAAAGGAACTTCCCCAACCCCCAGGAAAATCATCAACTCCCTCGGGTCCGTACATTGGGGGTATTAAGGGGGGAATGTTCACGTTTTTGCGTTTTGTGTGTACAAAAATATTTTTCCACCCAAAATAGTGAAAAACAAATAATTTTGATTGGGGAATGTTCTAAGGTACTTTCTCAACTCCGTGGAAAATCACCAACCCCCTCGGGTTTGTACTTGGAGGGTATTTAGGGGGAAAATGTCTTTTTTCGCGTTGTCTTTTTGAAAAAAAAAAAAAAA